TGCACTATGTAAAGAAGGTTTCCTACAAGTTAAACTCTTTTGGCCAATGGTTTTTGAGAAGGTTTTAAAAGATACTACCACATTTTTACGATTTCTGATTATCACCCTTTAAACAAGGACGTGACCAAACTAAGACAAATTATAAAATACAAGTAAAATTTCATAGGTTCTTTAAGGTGCTTAGCCACGGATGGAACATAATATTTTCTCAAATGTTCTGTTTAATATCACGACGTATATGTTGGTAAAGCATCCCATAGAATAATTCCCTGGAAATTATTTAAATCCATGAATTTTGTGACGCTTTAGTTAAACACATCCTTGCACTTTCACAAATTTTTACTTCATTCTTAATACTTCAAAAAAGTAGCAATTTTGTATGTTTTGTTAAAGTTGTTTATTTAAATTACAAACTGTCACTGAAATGATAAACAACTAGCAATCTGCGCATACAAAATTCATATACCAAACAAGAGATGTTTATAAAACAGGTACCCCTCCTCCCCCATGAATGGAATTTTTCTGAATCAAAGAGGCATAAAACGCAATTCCTTTATCGTACCTAAATGAAAACTTGGTCTAGATATTGTTATGATGAATCTGTATTCTGAATCTAATAATGAAATGAACAGAAACTGCAAATGAACTCCAAGGGGCATAACTCTGTCAAAGATCGTACCCAAACAATATTTTTTTGACAAAAATTCATTTCCTATGCAGAATACAATTTTTAACGTTATATAATTTTTTTCTGGATTACAGTATAAATATTTCTTACTAATAGACAACATCATTTCTAATTTTATTACATATCATGGATAAAGTTTGGCTAGTGTAAGTGTCAATCAAATACGTCCCGAAAGTCATATTTTTAATAAAATCCAGATTGAATAAGTTCAATTTTATATTACTAGGTGAAATGCTATTGCAACACATATATTATGATATTATACAGAAAAATTCGACGAAATATTACTATTAACATTAAATCTGTGTCCAAACACCTTTATAAGGTTCCGCAAAATACCATACTTATCAATTTTGAAAAACATTTTTAAAAATATGATTCGACCGTAACTTCATTAGATATCCGATCTTTCCTCAACAAATCATCATTTCTCATATGTTGTGATAAGTTACCTTTCATATTTTATGTGTCATGGTACTTGTATATGTCTTCTTTTTTTAAAAAAAAAAATCACACTTTAAATCATAATTCTCTAGTTTTCTTCTGTTTCTTATTTAAAAAATTTCTAAATACTACCTGAACCTTTCAATTTAGTTTTGGGTTTAAGCAATTATTCGTTTACTCCTCCATGGCACCTGATCCCATCTGAGTATGCTCTGCTCCTATTTTGTATTGTTTTATGGACTTTGAGATGGACTTTGAGATTGAATACTTTTATGTAATTAAAATTAGACTTCTGAGTTCTGCGCCATATATTACTCTGCGCGGATCTAAGGAGTGTGACTTTAATTAGATTGATGTTCTCTAGTTTATGCTTATAACGCTTATGCAATTAGGTAATTGGATGAAACACATGGAGATAACGAACACTATTCGTCCATAAAAAGTTACAAAATAGTATTAGAGCAAACAATGACCTCCTAAACATCAGGAGTGGGATCAGGTCACATGTAATAATAAGCATTCCCGGACAACCGGTCACACCAGGCGTGTGCTTATTGTAATGTTCAGGAAAAAAAGGAAGAATAAGTGGACAATGCAGTGTATAGATGAAGGTCTAGCAATCAGTATAAAAAAATCAGTCATTTCATTTAATGATAGATTATATTTTCTGACACATAAACACATAGCATGAAACTGCATTAAATAAAACATTGAAAATATGATTACATGTACTACTATATACATGTAGTATATACAGTATAAAAAACAAACTAAATTTGCATGTTTACAATGACTTTTGCATAATTTTAACCTTTGAAATTCAATTGTAACTGCCCTAACAAAAAAGTACTATAGTTAACTATAGTTAACTATAGTTTACTATAGTTTACTATAGTTAACTATAGTTAACTATAGTAAATCAAAGTTTTCACTATAGTAAATCAAAGTTATTTTATTATGACTTTCAAATCGATATATTTGATATTTTAAACTTCCTACAAATATTTTTCTGGAATTAAAATGAATTATTCCATGTATATTCACATATTTTATCAAAAATGTATATCATTATTATGTAATTTAAGATATATTAAGGCTTTAAATCTACAAAAAAGTTCTAGATCAAAGTTCCATAGTAAATCAAAGTGTCAAAGTTTTCACTATAGTTAACTATAGTAAACTATAGTTAACTATAGTAAATTTTTGTTAGGGTGGTGCTATAATTTTCGATGTTTAATTTTAGGAAAACTCATTAAATACAATTTTGCAAAACAGATATATATCTAACATTCCTTCTTTCTTCCTTACTTAACAAAGGGAATACATTATCCTGAATTACAATTAATAAACAATGCATATTACTGTGCTTTCATCAAGTTTTGTCGGCATTTATTTTCGTGGATTGTGTAAAACAGACGTTTTTGAAGGTGCGTTATTTCGTGGAGAAAAGCATTGCCAATACAAATGAATGTTATATTTCGTATTTCAATGATAATTTGAATTCGTGGATCTGCTCAACAACGAAATCCACGAAAATTGGTGCTCAACAAATATTGACGAAACCGCAGTATAAAACAAAGCACTATAAAGCAAATCAAACAAATAAAATGAATACAAAATTAATACATACATCTTGATGTACATAAAAGTAACGGAAAAAGGAAGCAATGACACAGCGACCAAGGCCCTACACATGTTACTACAAAAAATGCATTTGTGATGTAATTTTGTATTTCGAAGAAATTTTGCGTACATGTGTACCTTCATCCACGAATTGATACACAGCGGCTTGAAAACACGTGTACATATTAGGCAAATGAAATTTTAACCCTCCCCTGAACCTATACTTTTTATCAAATTAACAAAACATTGGTCAAATCCCAACAAAATTAATAAATCCACAGTATGTTCCAGTGTGCTTTAAACACCAATCAAATATCTTATGCTGTCATTCAAAGTCCTTATTTAAATTCAATGAATGATCACAACCCCACATAACAAAATTATTTCTACTGAAATGCAGAACAACATAATAAACCTCACATAACAAAATTATTTCTACTGAAATGCAGAACAACATAATAAATATGTATCTAATATATCTAATAAAATACTGCTTTATTGCTGCCAGTAATATATAAAAGGTTTATGTGACCGCAAGAGTTTGCTATCTTGAAATAACAAATTTCAAGAAACTCAACTTTTGGTTAATCCTTTAAATACTTTTTTTTTCAGAAAAGTAGTGCAATTAAAAAAGATAGCTCAATGATATTTGAGAGTAAGTAAACTTAATGAATTAGTGTAAATTGTTTTTTTTTAATTTAAGATAACTTTATTTTTGCGTCTACCAGCAAACATTTAACTTTTGGGCATTAAGTATTATAAATATTATTTAAAAAAAAGAACACGGATACAAACAAGTTTATTTTAAGTCAATAACTCTATCTTTTTTTCTAAACACAACCTATCCATCTCGTGTAAATAAGTTGTAAAAAAAAAAAAAAATTGGCGATTAACAGTAATCAAAAAAAAAATAATAGAAATAAAAAGAGAAATATTGATCTACATTTTTTTTGACAACAATAAATATATGTACACAGGACATAAAACACGAACCCCAAGAACTCTAAGGGTGGAATCAAATGCCAAAAATCAGTAAATACCCCCTTTTGATTAGTCACTGTCGCTCATGTATTGATCAGATAGAGAGATGAAACGTTCCTTTGGTCAGAATAAGTACAAAGCATAATCCCGTCGATTGGAATATAACATTTCTGCAAAAATAAGATCCGATCAAAGGTTAAAGAATGGGTGGAATTAACGCCCTGTTTTGGATCTTTTTGCGACTCCTCAACCAAGTGTAAATGTAGTGAATCCAAAATATATTACGAGCAATGGAAAGAGATACATATACTTGGTTATATTAGGTGGAACATTTGTACAAAAACAATACCATGTTGTCGTGTATCAAAATTGAAGCAACGATACATGAGTATCGTCTTCCGGAATTCGACATGTACCCGGACTGGTTTTTATGTCACACAATCAATATTTATAGGAGGCGGGGCTATCGATCGGCGTCATTATTGACATCTCTCTTTCTATCACTCTCTCTCTCTCCATAAATTCGAATACGTGTTAAGCATATTACAGCGATGTCATTATTTTAAAAATGTGATGACACGCAAAATTAAACCAATATTTATTTTGCCAAATTCTGAAAACGGCAACAAAACACACTCAAAGACATATTTAGATCGAGGTCAGGTTGAAGAATACAATGTAACAGTTTTTCACGAAGACACTCGCAGGTGGACATCACGTGATGAATTGTAATATCAAACAGGTCAATCGAAGACATAACAATGGAAAGAAGAAGAAGTTTCTTTCGAACATGTTTTTTGTTAAATTAAGTGTGAGCACACATTTGTCGGCTCTTCTCCCTTTAATATAACATTATTTTGTTCAATATACAACTATAGTTTTCTTAAGAACAGCCGACAAACATGTGCTGACGATGTATTCAGACGATGAAAAACGCGTGACCCTGATTATCTATTGATATTCAAGAAATCTTCAGGCACCATGCCTTCGATATTTATTTAGTTTACCTCTAAAAAAAGCGTTTTTATTCGTACCCTGAATGCACGGTTAAGATATCGGGAATTTATATAATGGAAAAAAATAAACATTTTGTGAAACTTAAATTTACGGCTTTTTTCTGGCCAGTTAAGTCCACCCATTCTTTGTTAATAACGACAATACAATTTTACCAAACATACAATATGAAACAAAAGTGGCAGATTTTGTGATATCTTCTATTTTAGGTTTATTTGGGTATGGTGAGTTGAAATTTGAATGAAAGTATCTATTTGTAATTGATAATATGACGTCGATATATCTGAATATCGGACTGAAGGTTACAGCAAGTCTTCTCTTCATCTCCTGTGAACCTTTTTGCTGTAAATTCTCCCTGAAAGCATCACTCTTGTGTGCAAACTACAGTAAAAACCCGATTTAACTTTTGCTCCATATCTCAGATGTCAACGCACTTGGTATTAAGAAACCACTGCATCCATCTTCAGAATGAAAACTCAGCACCGTATTTAAGTAAAAGTTCAGCGATACTATCATGACCATATGAGTGTGTTATGCACAATGGACTCTTATTTTTTTTATTGCATAAATTAACACAAGCACCATTTTTTAATAACAATTGGACCGTGCTTTCATGTCCGTTTTTGCAGGCTATGTAGAGTGGACTGATTCCCTCGTTGTCAGATAAATTGATATTTGCCCCGTTCTTCAATAAAAAATTAACCATGCCCTCATTTCCATTGAAACATGCTAGGAACAGCGGACTGCGGTTCCCTTTATTGCATAAATTGACATCAGCATCTGAATTTAATAGAAGTTCGATTGTACTACAATGTGAGTTTTCACAAGCTGTCCAAAGAGAACTGTTTCCATCATTATCACATAAATTGATGTCATCACCGTTGTTCAGTAACAGTTGTACCGTGCTATCATGTCCATTGTGACAAGCTATAGAAAGAGGACTGGCTCCAATCTTGTTACATAAATTGATGGCGGCCCCGTTGTTCAGTAATAGTTGTACCGTTTTATCATGTCCATTTTCACAAGCTACATAAAGAGGACTGTCTCCATCATTATCACATAAATTGATGTCAGCACCGTTCTCTAGTAGCATTTGTACTATGTTTTCATGTCCATTTTGACAAGCTATATAAAGAGGACTGTCTCCATCATAATCACATAAATTGATGTCGGCACCGTTGTTCAGTAACAGTTGTACGGTGCTATCATGTTCATTTTGACAAGCTATATGAAGAGGACTGTATCCATTCTGTTTAAATAAATTGATATTGGCACCGTTATTCAGTAACAGTTGTACCGTGCTATCATGTCCATTTTGGCAAGCTATAGAAAGAGGAGTGATATCAATCTGTTTACATAAATTGATGTCGGCACCGTTATTTAGTAACAGTTGTACCATGCTATCGTGTTTATTTTGACAAGCTACATGAAGAGGACTGGTTCCATTCTTGTTACATAAATTGATGTCAGCACCGTTGTTCAGCAACAGTTGTACTGTATTTTCATGTCCTTCAAAACATGCTATAGAAAGAGGACTTAATCCATTCTGTTCACATAAATTGATGTCGGCGCCGTTGTTCAGTAACAGTTGTACCATGCTATCGTGTTTATTTTGACAAGCTATTTGAAAAGGATTGGTTCCATTCTTATTACATAAATTGATGTATGCACCGTTGTTTAGTAACAGTTGTACAGTGCTATCATGTCCATTTTGACAAGCTATATAAAGAGGACAAGCTCCATTCTTGTTACATAAATTGATGTCGGCACCGTTGTTCAGTAACAGTTGTACCGTGCTATCATTTCCATTATAACAGGCTATATAGAGCGGACTCTCTTCATTCCTGTTACATAAATTTATGTTGGCACCATTGTTAAGTAACAGTTGTACCATGCTATCATGTCTATTTTGACAAGCTATATAAAGAGGACAAGCTCCATTCTTGTTACATAAATTGATGTTGGCACCGTTGTTCAGTAGCAATTTTACTGTACTACCATGTCCATTTCGACAAGCTATGTGAAGAGGACTCGCACCATTCTTGTTACATAAATTGATGTCAGGACCGTTGTTCAGTAACATTTGTACCGTGCTATCATGTCCTTCAAAACAAGCCATTGAAAGAGGACTAAATCCATGCTTTTCACATAAATTAATGTCGGCACCGTTGGTTAGTAACAGTTGTACAGTGCTATCATGTCCTTTTTGACAAGCAATATAAAGAGGACTTACTTTATTCTTGTTACATAAATGGATGTCGGCACCGTTGTTCAATAACAGTTGCACCGTGCTATAATGTCCTTTTTGACAAGCTAAATAAAGAGGACTTACTTTATCCTTTTTACATAAATTGATGTCTGCACCGTTATTTAATAACAGTTGTACCGTGCTATCATGTCTATTTTGACAAGCCATATAAAGAGGACTGGCTCCAACCTTGTTACATAAATTGATGTCGGCCCCATTGTTAAGTAAAAGTTGTACTGTACTATAAAGTCCTTCAGAACAAACCACAGAAAGAGGACTAAATCCATTCTGTTCACATAAATTGATGTCGGCACCGTTGTTAAGTAACACTTGTACAATGCTATCGTATTTATTTTGACAAGCTATATGAAGAGGACTGGTTCCATTCTTTTTACATAAATTGATGTATGCACCGTTGTTAAGTAACAGTTGTACCTCGCTGTCATGTCCATTTAGGCAAGCTATATAAAGAGGACAAGCTCCATTCTTGTTACATGAATTGATGTCGGCACCGCTTTTCAGTAAGAGTTGTACTGTGCTATCATTTCCCTTATAACAAGCTATAAAGAGTGGACTCTCTTCATTCCTGTTACGTAAATTGATGTCTGCACCGTTGATCAGTAACAGTTGTACCGTGCTATCATGTCTATTTTGACAAGCTATATAAAGAGGACAAGCTCCATTCTTGTTACATAAATTGATGTCGGCACCGTTGTTCAGTAGCAGTTGCACCGTACTACCATGTCCAATTTGACAAGCTATATAAAGAGGACTTGCACCATTCTTGTTACATAAATTGATGTCTGCCCCATTGTTCAGTAACAGTTGTACCGTGCTATCATGTCCTTTAAAACAAGCCATGGAAAGAGGATTAAATCCATGCTGTTCACATAAATTGGTGTCGGCACCGTTGTTCAGTAACAGTTGTACCGTGCTATCATGTCCATTTTGACAAGCTATATAAAGAGGACTGGCTCCATTCTTGTTACATAAATTGATGTCGGCACCATTGTTCAGTAACAGTTTTACCGTGCTATCATGTCCATTTTGACAAGATATATAAAGAGGACTTACTTTATTCTTGTTACATAAATTGATGTCGGCACTGTTGTTCAGTAATAGTTGTACCGTGCTATCATGTCCTTTTTGACAAGCAATATAAAGAGGACTTACTTTATTCTTGTTACATAAATTGACTTCGGCACCATTGTTTAATAACAGTTGTGCAGTGCTATCACGGCCATTTTGACATGCCATATAAAGAGGACTTGCACCAATCTTGTTACATAAATTGATGTCTGGAGCGTTGTTAAGTAGCAATTGTACCGTACTATCATGTCCTTCAAAACAAGCCATGAAGAGAGGACTAAATCCATGCTGTTCACATGAATTGATGTCGGCACCTTTGTTTAGTAACAGTTGTACCGTGCTATCATGTCCTTTTTCACAAGCTATATAAAGAGGACTTACTTTATTCTTGTTACATAAATTGATGTCGGCCCCATTGTTAAGTAACATTTGTACCGTACTATCATGTCCTTCAAAACAAGCCATAGAAAGTGGACTTAATCCATTCTGTTCACATAAATTGATGTCGGCAGCGTTGTTAAGTAACAGTTGTACCATGCTATCGTGTTTATTTTGACAAGCTATATGAAAAGGACTGGTTCCATTCCTGTTACTTAAATTGATGTCGGCACCGTTGTTCAGTAACAGTTGTACCGTGCTATCATGTCCTTTTTGACAAGCAATATAAAGAGGACTTACTTTATTCTTGTTACATAAATTTATGTTGGCACCGCTTTTCAGTAAGAGTTGTACCGTGCTATCATTTCCCTTATAACAGGCTATATAGAGCGGACTCTCTTCATTCCTGTTACATAAATTTATGTCGGCACCGTTGTTAAGTAACAGTTGTACCGTGCTATCATATCTATTCTTGACTAGCTATAGTACAGAGGACTGGCTCCATTCTTGTTACATAAATTGATGTCAGCACCGTTGTTCAATAAGAGTTTAACAGTACTAAAATGTCCATTATAACAAGCTATCCAAAGAGGACTGAATCCATCATTATCACATAAATTGATGTTGGCACCTTTGTTTAATAACAGTTGTACAGTGCTATCATATTTATTTTGACAAGCTATATAGAGAGGACTTGAAAGGCTTTTCATGCACAAGTTTACAATAGCTCCATTCTCCAATAACAAATCTATCAAATTATTTAACCCTTCTTTACAAGCGGTATAAGGAAGACCGTTTTCTTTGTTTGCATACATTTTGACCTTGGTGCCACTCTTCAGTAACAACTGAGCTGTACTTTCTTTTCCTTCTTGACAAGCTATATCCAGAGGGTTGTATCCATTATTAGCAGATAAATTGACATCAGCGCCGTTGTTTAATAGCAGCTGGACCGTTCTGTCATGCCCTTTTTGACTAGCTATGTAAAGGGCGCTATAACCATTGTAAGCACAATAATTGATGTTGACTTTTTCGTTCAGTAATAATTGAACTGTGGTGTCATGGCCATTTTCACATGCAATATAGAGAGGACTTAAATTATTTCCTCTGATGTATAAATTGGCATCAGCGCCATATTTCAGTAGCAGTTGTACTATGCTATCATTCCCCTTTTGACAAGCTATGTGGAAAGGACTGAAATTATTCTCAGCACAAGAATTGATGTTAGCACCATTATCAAGTAACATTTGGACTATTTTTTCTTGTTCCTTTTGACAACCTATATAGAGAGGACTAAATCCATTTTTAGCACATAAATTTACATTGGCAGCATTGGTCAATAATAAATGGACGATGCTTTCATGTTTATTTTGACAAGCTATGCAGAGAGGACTATACCCGTCGTTATCACATAAATTGACGTCGGCGCCCTTGCTCAATAACAAGCGAACTGTGCTGTTATGTCCCTTTTTTGTAGCTATGTGGAGAGGTCTGTATCCATTATTTTGAATGAAAGGGTCGAGGTTAGCACACGAATTGATGTTGGCACCTTTGTTTATCAATAAGTGGACTACATTGTCATGTCCATTTGAGCAAGCTAAATACAGAGGACTGTTACCAAATTCATAGCATAAATTAATATCAGAACCATAGTTCAGTAAAGATTCGGCTATGTAGGCATATCCCTTCTGACTCGCCACATGGAGAGGACTGTTCCCATTACTATCACATAAATTGACGTCTGCTTCCTTATTCAATAACAGTTGTACTGTACTTTCAAGTCCTTTTTCAGAAGCTATGTGGAGAGGACTGTATCCATTTCTTTTATCTAAAGGTCTGAATTTATTGTAAACACGCAAATTGACGTTGGCACCGCTGTTTAGTAACACTTGTAAAATGTTGTCATGTCCCTTTTCACAAGATATGTAAAGTGGGGTGTATCCTCCGTGAGAACATAAATTTACGTTTGCTCCATTGTTCAGTAACAACTGGGCAATGTTGGCATGCCCATTTTGACAAGCGACAAATAGGGGATTGTTATAGCCTTTAATGTTTAAATTCACATGGGCGCCATTGTTGAGTAATAATTGGACTGTGCTCTCATATCCCTTTTGAGAAGCTATATGGAGAGGACTGTATCCATTTTTGTCAGATAAATTCACATTGGCTTCTCTCTTCAGTAAATAATTTACTATGCTCTCTATTCCAGTTTGACAAGCAATATGAAGAGGACTGTGTTTATCATTATCACATAGATTGACGTTGGCGCCATTATTCAGTAACAGTTGTACCGTGCTTGCATGGCCGTTTTGACAAGCTATATGGAGAGGACTGTATCCATCGTTAGCACATAGATTAATCTCAGCACCGTTTTTTATTAAGCATAGAACTGTTTCATTACGTGTTTCGTCCCCATCTTTCTCCTTTCCTGCCTCCTGTCTATGCTCCTCATCATTTCCTGCTGCTAATAATAAGGGTGTCAACATATTATCATTGGTAAGCATGTTGACATCAGCACCAAGTCTTAGTAAGTATGGAATAATGAAAAAGTTTTGGAAGGCAGAAGCAATATGGATCGGTGAAAATATACCCCAAATACCCTTTATAGCTTTTTCTTTGTATTCCTGGCTGAGATAATTCAATAAGTTTATATCCCCATTGGCACAAATAGCAAAAAATATAGAGTGGTCATACATCGGAATTTCTTTTATAGTCCTTAAAAAAAACTGAGATATTTCCTCATGACAAAAAAGTATGAATGTGTTCAAAGGACACATGTCATCTCCCCAGTCAAGAAATGCTAGTCTTGTGAAATTAAAATCGCAACTACCTTTTACAAAGGATGACATATCTATTTTCAACTTATTTCTAGGAAGAATATATGACAAATTTACAGACTGGACCTTTTCTTTAAATTTTTTTATCACATTTTTATTCCGTAGACATGGGTTGATAACAACATCCACTAAGTTTTCTGTTTGCATGTCGATGATAAACCTGTCTACAAGATCACCAATGTACCCTTCACGCAGGTAAACAGTGAAGGGATCGCGATCTTTCTCTTCTGTATCGTCTTCTATCTTCACTCGACGTCTCAGAAAACCACTGTCTGCGTACTGTATTATCTCCAGTGGACAATTAACACCAAATACTAGAGTCGTTATCTCCATAATAAAGTCGTGAAGAAATTGGAAACCATAACCGACACGTTTGACATAGGATCCTTTTAGTTCATGTAAAGTACTGTCAAATACCGAAATATGTGTGTTTTCTTGTAACTCACACATTCCTAAAACGTCTCTATATTTCTTCATAGAAAATTCATTTCTTACGATTGTATCTATTTCCAGATTGTTTTTAAAAGCAACAACTAAAATAAGAGCGCAGAATTTCTTCTTGTCCATATTCTTCCAAATTTCAATTTCTCGTCTAATGAACTTGTACGGATATTTGAAGAAGTCAGTTCCACTTTCCTTGTAATTTGATTTAGTAAAAAGCGTACACAGCAACGGGAAATATGCTTTTGTTTTGATTATTTCAGAAACAATTTCTTCAGAAAGGTCTAGATCCTGTGTGTATTGATTGAGGATTGCTCTTTTCTCTTCATCTGTCAGTCGATTTTCTTTGTTGTCAATTTCTACTATTGTGGATTCCTCGAATAAACTACCCTTTACTCTCTTATCATTAAAAACGCATCTTCTACAGGACACAAGTAGTTTCACTTTCTTCAAGCAAATCTCTACTGTTTTCTGATGCATTTTCCATGAAGTATACAGGATATCATCGAAAGATTCTTTACCTAAAGGATCATTGAGTACAAAAAGGGTATCATTTTTTGTCGAATACGAATATTTCTCTTTAATTTCGCTAACTTCATCAACTGGACATACATTAATTCCCCAATCTTTATACTTGAGTGCAATATGTTGAATAATCGCAGATTTACCAGATCCAGAATTTCCGACAACTGTGACTAAGTTCTGACTTTTAAGCTTTTCCTCGACGGTTCTACTTGCTTTTGTAGGAATAAAAGCAAAGTTCTCTTCCTGCCAGTCCTCGAGAATCATGTCTTGCATTGATTTCCCTGTAACAGATTCAATGCTTTATATGAATGAAAACTGTAAATATCAGATGACGGTTGTCCATGATATCCTAAAAAATCTGTAACCCCTAGTATAGAGACTGAGAGCACATTCTTCATCATTACAAAGTTAATGAAAAAATCTTTGCAGCAAATAGATATTTACAAGGAAAAGAAAACAGCAAAATTCGCATATATTTCTGGATAAGGAAAAAGACTTGTTTTATTATCTTTAAATCAATCAATTTTGCAGAAAATAATAAAACTAGCAATTAAAAAACGCACATTGGTTTTAAGGCACCCTGATTATCACGAGTATTTCTGGAAGATATTCAATATATTTTAACGTTTATGACGCTTTGATTATTTTCATTAAAATTGTCTAAAAGGTTAGGATTAAACAAAATTAGGTAAGATTAAAAATTAAAAGTTTAGACTATACTTTCCTTGTTCAACAAATTTCATCAAAAGTCTAATTCCTGCATGAGTTTACTTGCTTAAGAAAGGATCTTAAATATGATTTAATAATTATGAATGACCAAATAGCCTAGCCTGGTAGGGGATATAATATAAATTTTAGCAAAGGCATGAAGATCATTATTAACAATCAAATAATTTGCCTTTTAAATGCCCATCAGATGTGGAAAAGGGGTTTTAAAAGTAAAATGATTTTTATTATTTTCCGATTTGACCAAGGACCAAAGAATTGTTTTTCTCACTTTTTAAGGCCAGGAACTACTCAAAATATTCAATGAAATAACTGGGAAAGAAGATGGGGATTCAAAGCAGGCAGAATATTGAGAAATCATATTCAATTTTTGAACTGAGTATCTAAATCAACTTCTCATTATTGAAATTTATGAAATTATGAGAAGAAAACCTTTTCTGAGAGAAAAAAATCTTTTATAAAATATCAGTCGGTATTCGTGGGATTTTTTTACCTCTGGCAATAAAAATTCGAGGTAGCATACTTCTTTGAGACTAATGTGCTTACCACTATACGCATCGCTCATGATAATTTCGTTCATTTAAATCATGTTTGTGATATGACCCTTGACTTTATGGACTTTCTCAGAAAGATGCGGATGTTGTGCCAAAAAAGAGTACATTCAAAGTATAGTGGGTCATGTCTCCATAATTTTGAACACCAAAAATAAACTTTTTATTGAAAACCTTTAGGATTATCTTTCAAAAAATTAAGCAAAAGACCTACTCGTATTTACAAAAAAAAAATTAAGTATGATAAAATGATCTTTTTTGTTCTTTTCAGTGTGTGAATGGCAATTTTCTTTTTATTTCTTTTTTTTTTAATTGTAGAGATTTTACTTTAAATACTTTAAAATTAATGAGATATCAAATAAAATTTTGATATTGAGATTTGATTTTTAACTTTTTATATCCATTTCATTCCTCTTATTTGTCGCACTATAGGCGCTTCGTCCGCCTATTTCCTCATCTTCTTAAATATGCAATTCTAAATTAACATTTTTTTAAGCAATTAACCCCATCCTAATAAGTCGTATAATTAAAATATATCATTATCCTCGTCTTTTTTTGCACTTCTTAAATTCGAATTTTTATCTTTCCCCATTGTTTCTCTGTTGAACACATTAACACCAAATTGATGACTTTCTCTTCCCGGATCAAGATGTTGAAGACATACCTTGCAAACGTAATTCCAAACAAGATATCTTTTCCATAAGATCTCTATGATTCTTATAATCGTTTTCGAGTTTTGCTATGACGGCTTTCCTACTTTCTTCTTCTAGTGCCTGACATTGAATATTGCTCAGTCCAGACATGTAGTCTTTGTTAGTGTACCTTTGCAATCTTAAGCAGATATCAGCTATGACTGACCACGTGTCATCAAAATCTGTCTGTGATGTAGAAGCCGAGCTTATGTGTCCAAACATAGTGTTTCTTATCATCCTTATCCTCTCAATGTCGTCGCCAACAGATATTTCTCTTACTGAAGGCATTGTGTTCCCACCCCAACCTTTTGTTGGCCGGGGAATTTTTGTACATATGTTTCTTATCAGCGTATATAACAATGTTATATCGAATTCTTTATATCCATCTGTTTTGGCGCCTATAAGACTAAGTTCTTGCTCGGGGCGTATGTTTTTATAAATCGATGATGCTTTCACTTTGCTGTAGACAAGACCAGGAGGTACGTCCATCTCTAAGACATCTCTACAGGCCTCGGTCAATTCTTCGACTATTGCCATTCCGAGCTTGGCAAACCTAGATCGGCCGCCAGGGTCTGGTCTAGAGGCCATTCCTTGGGTTCTTGTTGTTTAATTAACACTCTGAAATGAAAATTACTTAATTTATCAATTTGATATATTAGCAAAGGTTTTCATGGATGTTGTTTTTTCGAGTTTGATAGCAAGACGTTACAAAATTAGGAGATCGTTAATTCTCCTTATTAAAATTGGTGACATTGAAAGGAGATGGTACTCAAATTCAAACATGGACTACATTTTTCTCTAATTGACCTGTTTATCTCTTTATCGGCAACACGTTAGCCTTGCCCAAACATTTAAGTGGGTGGGGCTATGGATTTCATATTCCACGGTGTATTTCTTGTGACAAGACCATTCTTTTGGTTCCATCAAATTTGACCATGTAACATTAGCCTTTGCGTTTAACCAATTTTTACCAAAAACTTTTACCATAGCTACTATAACTTTTGAATGGTAAAAGCTAAGGCATTCATACATCAATATGTATTTACTGTGACAAGACTTCAATTGAGTATTATTGATTGTATTTTTTGTTTGTTCCTCTCGAGAATTTTTCACTCATATGGAGACGCCACTATTCGCAATGGAGAGTTGCAAATTTTGTCCTGTACTCAGTATTCAGGGCTATTGTCCAGCCCTAATGTAGATTTTCCAAAGGGTTTGGAAAAGTTTTGGAATTCCATGGAATTCCATTCATTTCCATACCAAAGTCGAAAGTGTGTCTGGAAGTTTTTGGAATATTTTGGAATTTGAAAAAATAAATGGACTTAGACATTATTTGCTTTGGAAAGCAGTGGAATTCTTTGGAAAAAATGATAAAATGGGAAACTTAGCCATTTTCTGATCTGGAAAACTGTGGAAAATTACTTAGAATTTTTTTAACTGTCGACCAATAGTACCATAACATCGTGATCGAAATCGGGCTCGATGAACAATTAATTTAAACAACAAGCCGAATTCAAAAAGATCGAATGCCATGTTGATGTTGCACAGAAGGAAAGTTGGAAAGAGAGTGTCTAGAACATGGGAATCTTGATTAGCTTTAGATGGAAGAAGATGAAGACATTTTAAGACCCAGTAGGTACAATATTGTACAGTATTTTATGTGTCCTTGAATGAAGAACGCTTCTGCTACCTGTTCATTTTAGTCTGGGCACCACACAGTCACAAATAAACCGCCTGACGGTGAAATCGTTAGTGCACTATTTCAATTTTGTAATAATTATTTAAAAACTCTAAATATCTCATTAAGATCATGGATTTTAACCCGAATGTCCTCGTTTGGGATCGAACTTATGTAAAGAATTTTACCTATACGTTCCTTTGTTCAAGTCAAGATAACATTTACAGAGTATGATGTACAATGTGATTAATAATATGTATTTTAAGTCATGTTCATGATCATTTTCAGCTCTTATTTTAATTATTTTATAGCTGTTGCTGAATAAAAATGTGCCTGAGATGATCCCCTCAGCGCTGGCGTTTGATAACTTGGTGGATGTAAATGCTTAGCCAGTCAGTCTCTAGGCTTATGAATATGGTGAGAACGAGCTCAAATTATCGCTCAAAGCAAGTTATCTAACTGTGATTTTATTAATCCATGTCTATTAGCATAATAATGTGTTCTACGGTGTGACCGTTAAGGGCGAGCACAGTTATTTACTTTCAAAATCCTTACTACAGATTTTACTTGCACAGCCTATCCTCAGTTGAACAGAATAACAAGTCAATTCCCACTTCCCAGGCATTGGGATAGAGATTCTGAATTTTCGGAAGTTTCATACAAAATCCGAAAAACCTGAGCCGTTTAAGTGATGAAAGTATGATGTCAAATAAAAAGTCCTGTTGACTCTTCACTGCAAAAGATTATTGGGAGTTTGCAATTCTTTCACACTGAGAGATAAAAATTTCTTGGAAGGACGTGAAGATTTCAACCCAAATTTCCTTTGTTAATACACATTATAGTATATTGAGCTCGCTACACGTCACTCGCTGCACTCGCTATTAAAAAAATTATTGCAACTTTGCCAAGGAAACAACATTTAAAGGTTTATATTCTTAACACGCCTAAATTCCTTATTCAAATAATTAATAACAATGCATTCTGACAGGTAATGTAATCATGAAAACTGCACAGACATGCTTAATTACTTTAGATCAAATAGCAATCATCTAATATGAAGTATACATGCATTTTACAGGAATCCAGGTGCTCATAAGGACAAGAAGTGTATGAATAGAAAAACATAAAGGTAAGATTTCTGAATTATTTTTTAAATCAATAAAATCACATGAATTGAAATTATCTTTTTCAGTGTTAGTCAGGCATTGAACTTGAGCTCAAACCTTTTTGTTTTAGTTTACCTGAACCATTTTAAGGCCTAAGTGATGTTTTCTGTCATCTATAAATTTTTCACAGTTATACATTCATCAGAATTAATCCTAATTTGAACAAAAAATTGCAAGATAGTGAATTAATTCATATTCCATAGTAAACTGATTTGTCAAGTAAAAAAAAAAAATCAATTGTTTTGTATAGCTTTTGTTTATTGTTTGTCATATATTTTTATGGATATCGATATTGATGCATCTAAATGGTCATCTTTTTGTTTCAGAAGCCGTGTAAGTATCGAAAGTTTGAAGTGTCTGTTGGAATTATCAACATCGAACTTTCTGAGCCTTCGTACTGAAAGTGAATCCGTTCGTGACACCAATTAACTGTCAACCTTCTAACATAACCATTTTCTAATTTCATAGAATATCAGTGAGGAAGTGCATGATTCTCTTGCAAACATATAAGAAGTTTTGGATAGATCTTCATTAATTGGGATCTTTGGCACGTACGTTGGGGGGAAATATCATCTGTTGATTTTATGGGATCATTGTACAATGTACCATATAGTTGTGTAGTACAAATTTTTTTGCATGCAATACATACGTTTGTCACTCTAGTCAATAACTTTGTACCAGTACATAATCATGATAAGCAACTGGCAGTTCATTTTAAATGTATACTTTGTTGAGATCTAAATGACTATTCCAATTCCATAGCCAATTTCATATATTAAACCTTACTTTTTTTAGAAAATGCAGACTGGAGTTTACTAAATTCATGTTTATCATAACATGCATATGATTATCATTAATTTAACCAAGGTGATTGATTCTCCGGTAATCATATTTTCTCTGTAAATAACCTTTTAAAATTTTATGAAAGTGTGCTTATATTGTACATCTGAGAGTTATACCATATGCAATAGTTGTCTCAAAAAACATTGTAAAAAAATTTTTTATTTTGAAAATATAGATTTGATCTATGAAACATAGTGATGTTATCATTTTTTTTTTGTATTTATTTGGCACTAATTATTTCAGTTTTCTTTGTACATGTATTTGAAATTTGGAATCCTGGAATTCCGTGGATTTCCATGGAATTCCTTAGATTTACAAACATCCTGGAATTCCATGGATTTCCTCCGCAAATTTCCATTCTGGCATTGTTCCGCTCTTTTCCAGGCTAGATTCAAAATTCCAAATAATTCCGAAAAAAGTTCCGTCCCAATACTCCGCAGAATTCTAAAGAATTCCGCGGAACAAAAATTCCATGGAATTTCATGGAATATGCTTTGGAATTCCATGGAAGTTGCGGAAAATCTACATTAGGGAGGGATGGATCATTTTCGTGCCAGCACCTACCGCGACATAGGACCTCGGTTTATACGGTCTTTTCTGAAGAACCAGTCTCCACGTCCCACAGTTGAATTCGAATCCCCTTTAATTGAGTATGAAAATATTTGACCTTTTGATATTTAGAGCTTGGCCCACTTTAAAAAAAAAACTTTGACAATAAATTTTGAACCATTGAAACTAAGGCTTTCATTTTTCACATTTGTATTCCTTGTGACATTAGATACCAAGAATTTAAACCTTTTGACTACGCTACAAACTTAGTTTTTGTTTCTATCGAAAGTTCTTGTCCTGTTGTTTTGGGGAAAAAAGATGCTAGAATCTTCTGATTAAAGGGAAGTGATGAAGTTCTTTAATCCTTCGTACAAAAGGTTTTATCCAAAAGTGTTGAATAATTATTTCTGTGATTAGAAATAATTATTTTGCTCTTATTTTGTATATTTGTTTAATGGACGTTGAGATTGAATACTGTTCGTTATTTCCATATCCTTATTCAACACTTTCGGAAAATTATACTAGTATCAAGAGAGTAGGATTGTAGCAGCACTTTTTATGGTGCTGATATTATTTTACAATTAGAATGCATAATGATAGCTGAAGTCTGATCAATGACTTTACCGATTTACAAAATAAAGTAAATTCGTCGAATTTTTATCTGTGTGCTGTTACAACCCACTTTGATAATTTTTTTTTCAAAGTGTGTTAAATTTGGGATCAAATCAACGCACTTTGAAAAAAAAAAATTATAGTGCGTTAACATCTACCATATTAACGCACTTTGAAAAAAAATGTGTATGGATTGATCAACATTCTTGCAAATCTTAGTTATGATTAATAATTTAACATGCTTGATAACTCTTCAGTGATTGGGTTGCTTAAGGATGTGAAAGTGAGCGATTTTGATTGTTTTTTACTTTGAATATTACTTCTCTCTTATGAATTTTTTTACTTTTAACTGTACATATCTAAACGTAGGCATCGGTACCAGTAGCGGTGGGGGTAATCACACACATGTTTTGCAAAGATATTCATAATAAATGCATTGAAAATTTGAGTTAACCTTGGGATGGGGATGGGTTTTGGTGGCGTTCTACTTTCAAATTGCTACGGACAGCTATGTACAATGTATATGGAGGAGGACATGGAGATAACGATCAGTTTTCATTCTCGAAGTCCGTAAAACAATACAAAATAAGAGCAGAGCAAACACGGACCTCCAAAACAACAGAGGTGGGATCAGGTGCCATGGAGGAGTAAAAAAGAGTTGGTCTTTGAGACCTTCTACTCGTCTTCTCCTTGTTCTTAGTTAGGTTAAATGAGTACATGTAATTTAAAAAGTTTTTAGAAAGATGTTAGTATTATAATGAAAATAAATCTTTCAATTATAAAATTTAGGTCTAGATTTTATTTTACATATAACATTTTCAAAGTGCGTTAAATGTCCCCAAAGTAAAGTGCATTGAGTGTGTTCTAAATTTGACACACTTTGAAAAAAGAAAAAAAAACACTGCTTTTGTCCCATTTTAAATGCACTTTGAGACAACATTTATAAAATGCGTATATTTTTTCAAAGTGCGTTGCCACACTGCTGCTTTAATATATCCGCGTATAAGACTACGAGGTTCGTACATATGCAAGAAACACATATTGACGCAAGCGTCAAAAATCGGCTGCAAACCAATTGGTCCTTTCAATGAAGCAACCGAAACTGGAATGCTTGATCTGATTTGTTATAATTAAAATGTTTTTTTTTATTTATCTGCTAATTAATTTATCCCTATGACATTGAACATTTGTATGCGACATTACAGGATTTTCATTACTACATGTATAATCAAACTACTGACTCATAGTCCTCTGCGTCTCCGTGCGCAGTTTGGTATAAAAGGTTTCTGTCGGAAGTTTGATGCTTATCAAGATTTTTTTTTTATTTTCAAAGATTAACACTAGGCTTGAAATACTGTAAAACGCACCTTATTTGTCTGTTGGAGCAAAATCTTGTATTTTGTCTCAGATAATAAATTGTCATTTAATCATTTGTAAATTTTCTTTTCGGAAATGTATATATATATGTACACGACAACTTAAAATATATTCAACCAATTTTGTTGCAATAGAGAAGATAAAAATGTTTACACTTGTATACTGTATAACGCGGTCTTTGCTTTTTTGTAACCGCACCTCTGATCAGTTATGTTAGATTTTGTCAATCAGGATTGGATAGAACAGTTACCTCAAATTTACAAAATTTTAAATTGATGATTATTGTGCGTATTTTGTTAAACGTTTAAATACGCGGTTTTAATATTCTTTTTAATGAATATGAAATAGTATATTTTTTTAACTGTTTAACTCCAAAGAAAGACTCGTCAATATCAAACATTCATATCAAATAACCAAACACCTCCTGGTGGACGGTGTAACGTTGAATTTTGACCCAAATTGAAAATTGATCTTGGTCATTTTTCAACGTTGACTAGTAAGACCAATAGTGTTGAATTTAGACCCTAGTTTGTTGAAAACTGAGCAAGGTCGTGGAATTTTGATCTTGAAACCCGTTCAAAATTCAACAGCATATATAAAAGCATATAATTATGACTCGGTTTTCACAACTGTGATTCAATCTATAGGAGTCGGGAATGGGGGCTAGGGATGCTAACCCCCTTTCTTAAAGATATACTTTATATACCATATATATTCGCCCATCAGTCGGTTGTATTTTTTGACGTTATTTTGGTGAAATTTGCTATTTGATGTAAATCGGTACATTTTTTACAAAAATCAGGTGACAATTTCAAATAAATCAATTGATGTTTTAACCTGGTTTTAATTGATATTTTTCAAAATGAGACTGATATTTTATCTTAAATTATTTTTAAAAAAAGGCATTGCTCACTTCAAAAAGAAATACAATTTTTAAAATATGTAAAATCTTGTAATTTATACAGTATATGTATAATCTAAGAATTCATAAATTATATATTATATCCAGACATTTTCTTCGACAATCGTCGGAAATGGAAATAAAATACTAGATTTCACCCTCCAAAAATATATATCTTTATGACTCGCTTATAAGTCGGAAATATACTTTTAGACCAATACTTAACTCCTAAAATACCGCCTTATAGGTAAGTATAATTATACAGTAGGCATCGAACAATGTAAAATTGGTTTAGTCCTACACCCCGCTTTCAACAGTGTAGTCAAAGAAAGACAAGTAAGTGGAAGTGCTTCTAAAAAAAACCAATAGGATATTCGGTTTTGTACTACTAGTTTCGACAATGAACATTTTTTTTCTAGTCAATTTTTTTTTTCAGATTTGAATTTTTCTTTTTTTTTCAATTAGCCCCCTCCCACCCCTAACGTGCAATTTCAATTTTCAACACCAATGTATCCAATGCACACTTAATTCAGTAATTCAATTATATTCTTACAATAAAATATTTTATAAAATACTATAGTATATTAGATTTCAAAGTTAAATGTTGTTTAAAATCGCAATATTTCATGTAATATTTTGTTTAAAAAAGAAGTACATTTGTATATGCAGCTCCTGAATATTAGTAAACATAGTTACACAATATACAATTTAGTCCATAAATTACAAGATAAGGTAAGACCAGTATTTGGCCTCCGGATTTTCAGAATTGAGGTCTTTCAGAATGAACAACCAGTTGTCACCCCTGCCACAAAATATGTTATGGTTTTACGATTTAGAAGATAGAGAGGTAACAGTGAGGTCACAGAATAGGTCAATTTTTGACATTTCTCATTTTTGTTTCAAATTTTCATCGATTTTGCGGCACATTTTGATTTGGAAAACATAGAGCACAAGCTTGCCTATCTACCAAATTTATACATTTTATACACCTATATCAGATGCAGTTTGTGTTAAAATCTCAGATAGGCAAGCTTGTGCTCTATGTTTTCCAAAAAGAAAAATATCTTTAAAATGATGAAATTCCACCAGAATTCAGTAAATTATGAAAATGTACTACTTCTGCACCCTCCAGGTGCTTCCATGTAAGATTTGAATTAAAAGTAATACTTGTTTTAATAAAAGTAAGCATCATTTTAACTTCATAAATACAAACTATCATAATT